GTTCAAATGTTTAGTACTGAAACACTTTCGCATTTATAAATTAGAGTATGAAATTAGGGATATGTCTAAAATAAGTAGATACCTTTTGTCATATGAATATAATAGAAGAACAAAAATTCCAGCGGTTACAGCTCTTGACTTCCATTGGTCGCGGGTTCGATCTCTCGCATGGTCTGGCTGTTGTTCTATTTATATTATGTATGTATTTACAAAAAAAATGTATTTATATCAGTTGTCTAGTACAGCTCTGTTTAGCATGGTACTAGATGGCGCTGCGTGAATTGTCTTATGATATTAAAAAAAAATTGTCGCAATTTTAACTGCATTTCATTTTTGAGGGAACAGATACAATATATATTCACGTTAAATTTCGTTAAGATCTCTTTAGTTTTAGTTTTTAAACAGTGGTGTTAAATGTGCAAGCTGTCATATTTTTCTCGAGAGAACTGTACAGTGGAATGTAAATGGCAAAGCGATACGGCAACCAGTACACTGTCTTTGTAATTTGAAAGCGTCGCCCCATCTCTGAATATAGTCGAACTCTTCTGAGTGTTCATTTCACTAAGTATCGACAGCATTTTTTTGACAATTCACACAGCGCCATCTAGACCGAAGTTAAGCTTGTGTTATGGGTACTACAAATACATAGATATATTTTTTTCGTATATTCATTTATACATAGTAAACACCCAGACCGATACACACAATCATACTCATGAATACAAACATTTGTACCGTTCGAGGAATCGAGCCCGCGACCATCGGGAGTAAGGCGGTGTGCTACACCACTAAAGTACCGAGGTGTGTTTTTCTTCATTTTATTTATTACTGATGTACATCACACACATAGATATATTTTTTCGTATAATCCTTACAAATAATAGAGTCCTTTCAGAATCATACCTACAGTAGTTGCAACTCTTGTTCAAATCCCCCAAGTGTAGTTGTTATCCAGATGGCAAATATGCATTGCAAAAGCTTTGATCAAATATTCAAATCCAGATTTCAATAGGTCAAACATAAAAATATGCTCTCATACAGTTGCACGATTCTCATAAAATCCAAGAAACGTTCCCAGCAATCCCCCAGGAAACAGGCTTTGAGCAGGGTGACCAAAATTCTCGAATAAAAAAGAAAATTGTAATATAAAATCAATTTTTGTAATTAATGTAAATTATATATGTAAATAATAAATTATGATGAATGATGATTGATCCAATGTAAATAGTCAATGGTTGTTTTGTTTGATATATAACTGATATCGGTTATGACAATATGAATATGAAACCCTCACTGTCACAACGTTTATAGACAGGAAAAATTGAACTTCACTTCTAGAAAATTCTTTTCAAAATTTATATTCCATGCTTTGAACTTAGTAAGAACTGTATTCAATTTTGTAAATCTAGATATAGCAGTAAAACAAAATTGAAGCTGAAATCGTACTTATATAACATTTATGTTAATATAATTATTACCAATTATTAATTAATTGATAGATAAGATTATTACATAATTAAATAGTAATGTAGTCCACACATGCAGAGTAACAATCAAAATAAACTACATAAAAGAAAGACATACAAAAAATATGAAATTCTTAATATGAGCACTTCGCGAACATCATCTTATAAATATATAATTTTAATACCTTCTTGGGGTCTCCTGAATATACCATTGTATGGTAACCCTAATCTTCCCTTTGACGCACCTTGCCGCTTCGCAATATGCGCGTGTAAACACACCCTTATCTGAATGTACAACCGTCTCTGTGAGTTTTCGTCTTATCTTCAAGTCGTAGCTTTAGCCGCTTTTCCTTAGTTCGGTCAACTTGTTTAAAAGTTGTATTACCCCTTCTACCGTGTAGGGACTTAGTACGAGTAAAAAGTACTACTTCATTTAATTTTTTTAGCGTTTTGGTGAGGTATTAGTGGAAGATGATGGGGTTATGGTGAACTGAGGTGATTTAGCGCATCGTGTCGAATTCATCAGGAATTTTGGACAATGGTTTCTAATTAGTACTGTGGACGATTTTTTTTAATGGATGATAATGGAATAGTGCATCCGCCATTAAGAAGATGATAAGATGAGCATGACCTCAGTCAGGTCAGTTAGCCCATCGTGACCCATTTACTAGGAATTTATCACAATGGTTCGGAGGTCAACCTGTCATAGTACATTATTAACAGTGTGGTCATCAGTCCACATTACTAATAATGAAACCATCGTGTTAAATTCCTAGCCTTCTATTTCTAACAATGGCGCAGTCAAAAAAAAAAAAAATCAGTCCACATTACTAATAATGCCCCTAGCCTTCTATTACTAACAATAGTTAGTAATTAGTAATTGTTAGTAGTAGAAGACCATTAGTGCCATTCACCACCCAGTAGCATAAGTCAGTTTAGTAGTTGCCATTGATCATCATAACTTCAGGGAGCCAGGTATCACTTCTGCCTGATTATCTGCGTCCATACATATGAATATAACAGTCAACAGAGGTACCGACGAGATAATTGTAACCAAATATATACATTTTTCTATATTTTCATTTTATAGTTATAAATATAAGTTTAAATGTTTATCTATATATATATATATATATATATATATATATATATTAATGAATCCCTATTTCCCGCGGTCTCACGCGTGAAGCGTTAGACCGATTTCACTAAATCCTTTTTTGTTGTGTTCATTAGTAATGTAGTACGCATTTTTTTAATAATATTAATTAAATAAATAGTAATTGGCATAATTAATAAAAAAATCCGCGTAGCTTATTAACACCGATTTAATATTTATAGTAATTATAGCATTAAGACAGAACAGTTAATTATATTTTATATAATAATTATAATTTGAAAATACCTCGGGTAAAATATTCCAAGTCGTGGAAGTCAGTATATTACAAACGAAAAAGATAAAAAGTTTATATTAAGACTAGCTGTCCCGGCAAACGTTGTTTTGCCTTAAAATAAAAAAATAAATTTTGGGGTGGACTACCCCTAACATTTAGGGGGATGAAAAATAGATGTTGGCCGATTCTCAGACCTACTCAATACGCTCACAAAATTTTATGAGAATCGGTCAAGCCGTTTCGGAGGAGTATGGGAACGAAAACTGTGACACGAGAATTTTACATATAAGATTAGTGTACAAGATTAATAGCAAAATATGGAAAGAAAATTGACAATGAACACTATCTGCCCGGCTAGCTCAGTCGGTAGAGCATGAGACTCTTAATCTCAGGGTCGTGGGTTCGAGCCCCACGTTGGGCGAATACTTTTTTATATTTTTTTGCAGCTGTATATAATTTTAGAGATATTGTTTTACTATTTTATGTTTAGTATACATAATTACAAATTAATTTAGCTTAGCATAACAATATAAACATTGCTTTATAACAATTGCGAGTCATATATTGGATATTTAATATGTTAATAACTTATTATTCTTATTTGCTCACTATCTTAATTATTTTTATGATTTAATTTAAACAGTAATAATAACTGTTTTAGTTAATTTAGATTATATACGACATTCATACATATGTATACTGAACTCATTGATATATATGTATGTCGTATATATTTTTTAATTATAGCGCCATCTAGCGATAATACGGAATAATATGTAGTATTACAACGCGGCTTCGATTATTCCGAAATAGTTTAAAGGTAGACATATGTATACTTGCAGGTACTAGTCACTTGTAATAGATGGCGCTAGTCGTAATTTTAGTAGAAAATTTGATTGCAATCAAAATACGTGGAATTATTATGTTGAAACTTAAACATATTTTCAGGTTACCATAGGCAAAAAAATCTGCAGGTAGTTTGAGTTTCGCTACCTTAAATTCTTTCAGGAAAGTGATTTATTCTTTTTTACGTATGAAATTTTGTTTTGTAAATAACATAATGTACTTACTTAATATGATTTTTATTCGATGTACCTAACACTTATCATTATATTTTATTATTAATTTTATTATGTTGTACTTATTATTAGAAACCTTTGAATCGGTATCTTAATTGCTTTCACAAGCTCTTCTTACCTTGGGACTAGATGACGCTGAGTGAATTCTCGAAGGATCTTATTATGTTATATTAATTATTCACAATAGTAATATGTAATAGTATCTTATTTGTGGTAGTAGTTATTATTCTATTATAATTGTTTGTATTCTTTGCCAATATTGAAAGATGTAACCGCAACAGACTGTCGAATTTTTTGTTCATCAATCATACTTTTCTCAGAATCGGTAGTGTTTAATAAATTGTAATGTGGGTGTAATTGAATATCTATGAGTTCTTACATATAACACAGAGAAAAGAATGGGAATTTTCTATGTACAAAAACTGTTACCTACCAGATAATAGGTACAGTTTTTGTTTGTTCATGAACTTTTTTTCTGTAATTGTATCAGTTAGTAATTTATTATAATTTTATACAGTAATTAATATGTGTATTTGAAACTTTTTGGCGGAAAATCTTTTATTAACCACTATGTTATATATGTTTAACCTGTACCTGAGGGTGATACAGCTGGAATCGAGCCACAACGCGAGATTCAAAAGCGTTTGTGGACCGGGTCGCCACCAACATGCTCTCCATCTTCATGAAGGAAGACTACTGGCCGAAGAGAGTGGTGTCACAAACAATATCATAGTTACAATATTAAAATTTGAAACATAATATATTGGTATAAAATTCAAACCAGAAACTTTCCTTTCTGCAACACGATGACCAATGTAACAATTCAAAGTGTGATGATGTTGCTTTACATTAGCATGGAAAATTTACTATTTCAAGCAATCCCTTACGACACCTTACGAACAATTGTGTCTAAAATGTGTGCGTTTTTTATATCATTATCACGAGTAATTGCTCCTGGTTTCCTGCGAGCATTCGTCAATCATCATTTACTGCAATTTATGTTTGTATAAAACATACTTGACGTGCTACACGGCGTTTATTGTATGTAACGTCTTACTACGACTATGTGGCTGACGACTTGCCTTGTACTTCTAGGTAAGAACAATCTATTTTTTAAATAACCTCTAGTTTTATTTTTTTCAAGCTCATTTACAGGTTTTTCCGCTCGAACCTGTCGTTCCACAAAAAATATAGAGAGGCCTGGTAATTAATTATTATTTATCTGCAATTTTTACTAGGACTACCTGAATTTTGGTTTACAACATACCTTTCTATAGATTTTTAAATTCTATGTAAAATGCGAAAATGTAACAGATATATTAATTTACCAATCGTATAATTTATAGGTTTTATGAGTTACTAGCGACCCGTACCGGCATCTCATCGATGCATTCCAAATCTTTAAATTTCGCGGCTTCTTCGATACATATAAACCTTGCTCTTAAATCACTCTATCTATTGCTGCAATAAAATCCGTTGAGTAATTTAAAAGATATAAGCGAACAGACAGTGGCGCCGACTATGTTTACTAATATGTAAAGCTAATGAATTAATATATTAAAAATCGTTGAAACATCAATTAATATCTAGTATAATCAACGACTCATGGGATAAACCAATACAAATCAACCATTAGATGCATTATTGATATACTTGTTTTGCATTTATATATCATCACGATGATATAGTGACTTGCTTGTGTATGAGATAGCAACAAAGCCTTGTGGATATCGGTGCAACAGGCACGTCTAGAATAAACAATATATTGCTCTTTCTAGTTCAACAATAAAATATACCATTCAGTTATTCACAGAGCTCTTAAAAGTAAAAGCAATAGTAACTATCAGTACTGTCAGCAAAAACAACAGCAAATTTATTCTTTGCCTTAAAAAATCTTTGTAAGAAATTGTTTGTTCGAGTACCTCTAGATATGCTATTATTGTTGGACATTCTATATATAGAGGACATTATACTGTAATCTACTCATCAAGGGAATCATGTCTTTCATTTTTTTGCCATTTTCCATTCACATAACAAGAATCAAGATAACTTCTGCTTATTTTGTTATTTGAATCTTTTTATATCAGATATTTAATTACGCATATACATCTTATAGTAAATTGCTCGGCACATAATTGCCTGTTTCAATTATGCACCTATCTAACTGAATCTACAATTGTATGTTATTATTTTTATGAGAAAAACTAGAAGGATCTATTTTTTCTCACCCGAAACTATTATATTTAAATGGTAGTTGATTTTAATGACTTACATTATGGTGCTAAGGAATATGCATCCATCTACTAACATTTGTGGATATCAGTACGATTTAGCTAGAGTTTTTAAGGGAAGACTATGAAATGGCAATAATAAAGAATGAGCTTAGCTCAGAATGGCTTGATTTGCTGGTATATTTAACTACAATAATTTTGAAGTAATTAACGTTACATTACTCTGCCAAGAGAATCACGATGAAAAAGTAGTATACAAAACTTATAAATAATGATTAAATACTCGTACCTAGGTATATGGAATAAATCCATTAGGCACTTAATGGCAATTCCAACAGTATGAGCAAGCGTTCTTTGTTGGTATTCATAATTTTATTTTTAACCCTTTTGACTGAAAATGTCTTTTACTTCTACTTGCCACAGATTAATATAGTTTTAGAGAGAACAGACGGTGCAAATGTCTATGTTTATATACAAATATGCATGTTAGATAAAATACTAGGCTTGATATTTAGAAAAAAAATTATAAACATTAATTTTTTTATAAACCTGGATTTTGACTATATAGATGAAGTATCTAGAAACCCTGAATCTAAATTTAGAGCCAAAATTAGAATATACATGAAGTTGTACAACTTATTTAGAATATATATGTATATGTATATATGTGCTACCTAGATTAGAGTCAAAAATAGCTTTTAATTACTATTAAATTTCAAAGGTCGTAAACATTTGTTATTCTTTGTATGTTTGTTCGTACATTCATTGTCAAGGACGCAATAACCTTGAATTTAATAATCAATATCAATATTAATGTGTCCCTAGCATATATTATTTGTGCTATCGGAACTATTTACGTGGTTATATAATCCAAGTGGTCTACAGATATTTTTCATTTTGGATTATAATGGAATGGTGCACCCACCTGCGCTAACGGTTTACGCTGGCGGGGCACCAGTAGAGGACGATAAGATGAGCATGAGCTCAGGTCAGTTAACCCATCGTGACAAATTTATCACGATGGTTTCCCGGAGCAACCGCGTGGAGGTCAACCTGACATGGTACATTACACATATTAGACTGGTCAAAATATCCACATATAAAATATACATACATAGAATTATGTTGTACTTTTGCGTGTTATCAGTTAACAGCATCATAAAAGCTTTACATTCTTATAATTATTATTGTAGCTGTCTCCAATACAAGTCATGGCGTATCTTCCAAAATGGATTTTGAAAACGAACAAGACTCCACAGCAGTTGTCAGTAATTCCAGTAAGGTAGAAGATGAAGATGTTGAAGTAAAGCATACAATAGTTGTATCAACAAAACTCAAGAACAATAATCGTAGGGGTCTACATAGCAACAGTGATGGTTAGTTCCAACTTTTGAATTAAGAGACTAAAGAATTTGCATTTGTAACTTTTTTATTCTAAGGTTTGAACGCTACAGATTATGTAATATATCCCCCATAATATGCCCTCGGGTGAAACCGAGGGCACAGCTAGTGATCAATAATCAATAAAAAATATCGCCTATGTTATTCTGATGCATAAGCTATATTGCTGTAAAGTTTCATCAAAATCCGTTCAGCAGTTTTTGCGTGAAAGACTAACAGACATACATACTTACAGACTTTCGCGTTTATAATATTATATATGTATATATTTAATATATATACATAAGATAAGATATAACTATCTTAAAACACACAGTTTATAATGCAAAGCATCTTATTCACATTAAGAAAAATGCAAACTTTAAAGTAATATGAAAATAAAACGAATGTAAAACGTTTATTTTATGGTCATTAACTGAATTGTTTAACTACTGTTTTATGAAACCTATAAACATCATGCAACTTATTTCATTCTCCTTATTATAGGAGAGATATTAAAGAAAAATGCACTAGTGTTTTCGTGTAAAATGGGAATACAGTACTGTATTTTTATGATCTTTTTTATGCTTCCATACTGCAATATAAAAATACATTTCCTATATAAATCTATAGTTTCATCTCATTTCATTTTCTTGCGAGTATGTTCAAATCTAACTCCAGAGATAAAGCGCGTCTACAAATAATCTGTTCAAAACTTGTTTAATACTCATTCGGTTGGATACGCATTTTGTATAATAAGTAATTCGTGTTTTATTCTTATTAGTGCCGCTAGCATTACGATCATGTCACCATCCTACATACTGGGCATTGCCCTGTATGCAAACTAATAGGCACTCGAGATTAAAGTTATACTTGAAATAAGATTACAGACAAAAGGACTGGCTAGTTTCCTTGCAGCCAAAACGAATTAAAATAGTAATGTATAATAGAAATAGCTAATATTTTTAGCACTACGCCACTAGAACATGAGTTTTTATTTTTTTAATTACTGAAAGCATTAAAATTAAATATAAGACTCCCATGTTTTTTTCTTAATCTTGATATATATATGTAATATATTTTGGTTTGAGGCTATCCACTCCTCCTATGTGACATTGAAATTACAGAGTATGACATGTTACAGGAATAGTAACCCCATGTCACTCTGAGACTTATACGTCGACGTGATGTCCACGGTTCAATCCATATATTGCTAACTGTTTGGTAGACCGTTTAGTCTACCATGAACAAACAGTCTGATAGATCACCTTACAAGTTTCTGTACTCCCTACCTAAGTTGGCCTAAACTGTTATAAAAAGGTATATAAATTTTATTTAGTATTTTTTTTCAGGAGATTCTGGTGTTCTTTCTTACAATATAGGACACACACAAAGATCAAACAAAGACACCGACAGCGATGAAGTACCAGTTATTCCGGGATATAAAGCTGTACAAACTACACAAATTACAACTCCAGATAGTCGTCATAAACCTCAAATTTTCCCTGACTCGGTTTTCATTAACCGTAACATAAGGGACGAGTATGATGTCATACCGAATTTGGCTACAAATCCGATGCAATGGAAGCCTTCTAATTATTTCAATAATATAAATTGGTGGAACCATGGCGACAGACAACCAAGTTTTGTAAGAAGATTCGATAGACCTATAGGAAATCAAAACAATTTCTATAGAAAAACCGCTAATGATGGTGTGAGGGAGTTCTATTGTAAAAAATGTATGGAAATGAGTAATGGACAGATAAAAGGATGTATTCAACAGCGCAGTAAATCGTGGTATGTAGAAACAACAACAAACAAGATAAAGTTAGATGGTAAATTGGCGAAATTAAACTAATAGCTCGCTCCATTGTTTTTGTTCATCCCGTGCACGTACCTAATGTTGGGTAGCAAAAACGAGACGGTGATATGATCTGTGCAACCTTGAAAAGTTGAGAGCCATAATGATATTCCATAATTGCATCCATCTCTGCTAATGTTATAATCACGTGTAATTATTTTTATAATTATGTTTTGCCAATCTAAGGAAGTATTCAAAATATGTTAGGTTATTCTTATGGCTAGGCTTCTTATTATAGAATGATAAAATCTAAATGGGTAATGGTAAGTTCATGTGGTAGAAGTATAATTAATTTATATTATTGAATAAATTAAGTCAGTCAATCTAATCCAGAACTGAGTACCTACTAAGAAAAAGGTAAACTGCAAATTAAATATTGACATCACAATATAGTAATTTAGTTTATTAAAAACTTTACAAAATCGCCGACGACGATATAATACTAGAGGAATATTTGAATTATATATATTTATTAAACACTTAAGACTAGTTACAACTAATTCAGTGACGACGTATAAACTCCATTAGAAATTTTGAGATCTCCATTACGATTGTACCAGATTTTTTTAGGAGCTTCAAACTTACGTTCAGTGTCTAGCTTTTGACTCTGTAAGTAGTTACTTTGCCGTTATTGTTAACAGTAGTCTCCGCACCCCTGTCCTTGAATTCTTTGCCGTTAACGTTAGATGATACGGAATAAGCATGGGAGGACATGCTCACGAAATTACTTCCTGGTTTTTGTTCTGTGTCTGCGAAACGGCTCATAACGTCCACGTTCGGCATTTGCTGAAAAGAATATTTTAAATTATAAAATATTGTTATGAACTGTCTATTTCATCATCTGAAGTAATAATTGGGCACAAACAAAATAAAATAATGTCTTAGTTCTATTATGGTAGAAACATTTTTAGCATAAAGTATAGGTACAGTCATATCAATGATTTGAAGTAAGACTTTACATGACGAAAGTGAAGTTATATTTCCAATAACAAAAAGGAAAAGCAAACCAGAAGAACAGCGAGATTCAAAACGAAAAAGTGTTTATTGGTATTGCCTTTCTCCATCTATGGTTAAAACTATGAGGATAATTAGCTGCTATAAGTTACTTTACTCAAAGTTCTTGTCGATATATTATGGCGCGATATTGCTGTGTCGGTATCATTCAATAGGGCAGAATGTCTATACTCTTATCAACTTGTTAGTAGTATATTTTATATACATGTAATTCTAACATTTATTATTCAGTTTACAAGTAAGGAATGTTATCAACTAAGGTGATGCATGCATCGACAAAAATACTAGTAATACACGTATGCTTATTACAAGGTTTGCAACAAAGATGCGGCTCGCGTTTAGTCACGTTCTTTTATTTCCACATAATCACACTGCTATGACTATAAAATATAGTACTATACTGCAAAACAAAAATATGAATAAGGGAAAACATTTAGTCTAACCTGAGCCTTATTCAATCAAAACTTAAATTTATATCAGACCTTACATAGTTGCGAAACAGTTTTGAACTCTCATTTTGAGTAAACTCTTAAATTGAAAAACTTATAAAACAGTTTCTGTTTATTTTGGAAACAGGATGTATTCGGTTTTTGGAAATAGTATTCAGTTTGATTAAAGAAACTAATTTTACTTATTATGAGTATTATAGAATAAATATTACGTAGTAATTAGGTACTAATAGTTTTTATGAGTACTGTTTAAACTATGACATTATGACAATTAGATTAGGCAGAAAAAATATATGATTAGAGGCAGATATCTCAGTCCTCAGGAATGGCAATGCATGAGTGGCATCGCGGGTATTATGTGATGACGTCATGTCTGTAGTGATGTTCATATATATAGGAGACGGTTACCGTTTGTAATAACTGAAGTCGTCAGTTTGTTAACGAAACCAATTAAAAGAAAATACTAACTGGGTTGGCTGGATTAATCGCAGCGATCTGGTGAGTAAATCCGGGTCCTGCTGCTCCTCCCGCAAAGGCACTATTTCCAAAGTTTGACATGTCGAAATTCGGGAAGGTAGGAAATCCACCGAATCCTGGGAAATTGTTGAAGGGAAACCTGCGCGGGAAATTCGGAATGTAACCAGCGTGATTAGACGTTAAGTCAAAGGCTTTGCTGGCTGCATTCAACGCTAATTTTTGATTTTCAAAATTTGAACGGAATGTCCTGTAAATATATAACATGATAAAAACAAAAAAATCACACATAAAGTTTAATATTGTAGCATCGATGTAAGCCAGAAAAGTAGCCAGAGAGACAGAGGAAGTGCTAATGTACAATTAGAAGTAGTTCATATTTCGGTTAGTAATAAGACCACTCGATTACATAGTGTTATAGTGTTACCTGATAGGTTCTAAATATCCCCACGGTCTTAGTTGAGGAAACGGTAATGGGTGAAAAGGATGCAGCTGTGGTAGGAACGTTTGTGGTACTAGAGGTGGCAACGGTGGAATAACTGGCAGTGGAGGGAAGGGCGATAATGGCTCCAAGTAGTCCGGGAAAAATCTTCGACTAGTAACACTATGAAACACAATATAATTAATTATTATTACTAATAATTGGTTTTCTTTACTGTCATTGGTGTTTCCGATAACCAAGACCTTTAGCTTGTTATCAAAATCCATTATTACAATTTACGTTGGGACTTATAACCTAATATATTGTTCTTCATAGGTTATACAATAATGGATCAACCTCCTAATAATAAATTAATACCACCAATAAAGACCAATACGTGGGCATGCGATTCTTCATACAAAATAATGAATTAATTTAGTTACATACTTTATGTCTAGTATTTATTACAGATAAACTTCACTTGAGAGATTATAATAGGAAGAATCATAGTTATATCTAGATAATATAATGCTGTTAATAACAGTAGACCTTCCACCATCCAAGGTATACCTCCACCGGAAGCACATAGCTTTATATACTCTGTCAGTGAACCTACTCTTGTAGAAGATTCTCGAAGTTCCTAAAGTATTCAGGGAAGAAATCATCTAAGTCCAGAAAATTATTCTGGAATGTGTTTTGGGCGAATGGTATAGGAAATCCTTTATGACCAAAATTAGGCCCGTCCTTTAATCCGTAAGTGCCACCGTACCTATTACCAGCTGAGTCTTGATAAGCATATGCTCCTACTCCTTCTGGTGCACCTGGAAAAAAAGAAAAACATCTTTTATTATTTGACCAAAGTAGTATTACAAACAAATAAAGCTGTCTACGTCGTCGAGCTAGTACATCTGCCTCACCTACATATATGAAGCGAATACCGACCAAAAACATAGTTTGTTCTTTAGATATATTGTTTGGGTGATTTTTATGTATATTATGAATATATTTAAAATATAATTGTATCTAAGTACCCATAACAGAAGCTCTGCTTAGCTTGGCATTAAATGGCGCTGTGTAAACTGTTCAGGAATATTACTTTTTATTATATATGTGACTCCGAAAATATTTTTTTTTTTTCATAACTTCATTCTCGTTTGCATTACTAAAATCAATTGATTTTAGTTGTAAAATTTAATTCTTTTGAAATTCAACCGATATACCGTATGCCCAACTGTATTATATTATAAATGTAGTTAGCCCAATCGCTTTTATTAGGCTAATTATACTCGAAGTTACTAGATCTTAAGCATTACAAGTTTTTTTTTTTAACTAAAACTTATGTTTTAGCAAATAAGACTTTTTTTAACGTTTCTTTGGATTCGAAGACAAAAAAAAACAAATATGCTGTTTTCATACTCTCAGATACCCCTATCTATCGGATAGAGTTCGTAGGTACCTAATTATATCTTTTTTGTAAGTGATGTTTTGCATTATCAGTCATTGAAAAATTATTGGTAGGTACTTATTATTATTCAAGAGCTGTAATAACAAGCCAATTAATAAAATACGTCAATAGTACAACAATAGTTGAGCAAACGAACTCTTTGTTATAACAAAATACTTGCTAACAGCCATGACTCACGTGTCTCGATTTTGTATGAAAAATATCATCAACCAATTAAGATTGTGGGCAAATGTAACCGTGATACATTTAATGTTCATCCATTAGACGGTGGTGAATAAAAACATTAGCACTCGAGTGTAATTTGTGGACGGAAAATCCCGAATAGATATTGCAATGACGACGAATAAACGCGAACGACGACGAAAAAATGACGCGAAGTAACTAAAGTTTAAAAACGAGATAAGGCCAAGATAAATCGAATATATTTAAATGTATATCTATTAGATACATTGGTTGTGGAATAAAAAGTATATATATCCATCACAATTTAAATGTAGTGTTGTTGCTAAGTAACAGTTATGTTTTACGTGCAACTGTGAAGAAGTCAAGAATTAATTGTTTTTACTACTACGTACTTATATATCCACGAATAATATCTCCATCAATAACAACTGCAACGCGGGAAATTTAAACATGTTGAGACTCAGTTCGTAATATTGATATATTCTTTGTCCCATCATCATATTATACGGAAATGTACAAATAAATGAATGAAAATAATTTAATATGCATATGTAATGATGAAATGATTAGGCAATGGAAAATGAAGATTATAAATGGTGACTATTCGTTGCTTTCAGTCTTGAACGGATTTAGAAATTGAAAATATTTATTAAATACTTTATATAAAAATGCAGAAAAAATTACGAGAAAAATTGATTAGAAAATGAAGATTTAAAATGGTAAGTTGTTCAGAAATTGTATTATATTACCGACAAGCGTCTTTATAGTACATCAAACTCTCCGGCATTCAGCAACAGGATGGTGAAGAATTGTTGAGCTGTGGAATTTGGTTACGTAGATAAAAATTGTAGGTTCATTTGCAACTTGGTGTGCGTGTACACCGAGCCTAATGATTTCACGGGAACACATTACAAGACATAGCGTACACACTACTTATTATTAAAATCATCAGTCACGGCTTATTTATTACTTGAACCGGTTTGTGTTCCTGTCCGTGGGAATGTTATATTTATTTACTTTTTGAAATGTATAGGATAGATTTGTTCTTTATACGTGAGTCAAAATTAATATTTGCAGGTCTACTCTGGATTTTCATTCCGATTTAATGACATTGGATTGTACTGTTTCACAGTCAACGCTAGCAATGTTTTTATTCCTTATTTCGTGATCAAGTAAAGAACCAATCGACATTGTTATTTGGTATATTTTTACTTATATTTCAAAGTAACAGTAGAAAAATGAATTGGATTGATATGTATATATGTATTTATTACATTGATAAAATATATTACACATATATAGACAAATGTGCCAGAGTACCCCCAAAAGTGGTAGTATATAAGAATACGTACAAAAATAACACTATAAACTGTAGATCTTCTTAAGAAACATAATAATATACTTACAATATATACGTACGAATTAATAGTTGAAATCGTTGAAGTACTGGTAATCAATAATTATTAGCAAATGTATGTACTATGTAAGCTCCTAGCATCATCTACCAGCGTACATAATGTAGCACTATTTCATTACAATCCAATTAAAATGAGTCATTCCTACACAGCCTAAATGTTGTCAATTTAAATTATTTTCTTTTGAATAATATAAAAACTCTATTCATTACTAGCTAATAATAAATTTATAATAAAAATATATAAAAAAAAATTAAAATTTAACAATATCTCATATTCCATTGGAAATTATAATAAATTTGAAGAACGCAACTTTGTCTTATAAATCAACTCTGAATTCGCTAATAAATCTAATATTTTGTTTTAAAATACATTTCTCTCATCAATATGTATTTTATTTAACCGACACGAATATTTGGATATAATTATGATACAATGTTGACACGATTATTTATAATGCTACAAAAAAAATGTAAATGTGTTTTTTTGCTTTTGTTATTATGAAGCTGCATCGAAAACCCAGCGAAAATATTCAACTATTCGTGTTGTCTAACTTGTGGCAGAGTATGGTAATAGGTAGTAGTGTTCACAGAGTAATTACTTCTCTTACGAGGAATTATACCAAATTTAATCTACGTAACAAAAAAAAGATAGTGTTAAAAATGTAAAGCTTGCACAGTTTTACACAAAAATATTTTGAATCGCATAATATGACAAAACTACAAAAAATAAGAAATTGCTAAAAATGTTAGGGAAAAAAATTGGTGTCGTAATATAATAAAAAAAAATCTATTTTGTACCTAGTGACGCAAGCCTAGTAGTGATGGTAAAGTAGAGAACAGTAATGTTATACTACATTACTCCAAGCTATATTCTGTGGAACAAACGATTATATTGATATTATACCTATCTATTGACATCTATAGATAACTACGAAATTTTATTATCTGTAAACAAAATTAAGTATAATTTCTTTGCTACGAATTTAATCCATCCATCATCATCCAGGTTTTAAAATCAGTAAAGTTTTACTGAGATTAGAAACAACCAATTATTTGCTACATTTAAAAACGGAATCATTATTCCACTAAACAAAATCACAATTTCAATTAAGGCCAGTTAGATTTACTACGCATTTTAGATAGGTGCCGTAACTATCGCCTTTTCTTGTTTTAACCACAATTTAATTTTCTACGGCTTCTCTATTATTCCCCCAACATATTTATGTGCATTTCCTATAAACACAATAAATTAACATCTAAACGTTCCATTCTTTTACAATATATTACTGCGGATAGTGAAAGCGTGAGGACATAATAAGAATTTATGTAATTTATGATTGTGCTGATTTAAAAATATAAGTAATATAAATATTAAATTGATAATTTATTCAATAGGAATGTATAAATTTTGTGTCTAACCTCGAAGTTCGGCTAGGAAATAAGTTTTTACCTATTTAATAAGTTGAAGTATTTACAATTTCTTTTTATATTTATTTCTTGAATATTTAATATTCATTATGTTAATTAATATTTATTTACTGACCTGGTCGTCTGATCAGCAAAGCACCACTTATTGTACTGAAAAATTTTACAGGCCTCTCGGTTAGCACACCTGTGACTAATAAAGTATTGAACCAAACAAATTGTTGCGCAATAAAATTGGACTATAAGGTTTCGTATCTAGAATTAACGATGACATAAAAGGCAGGACGAATGAATTCAACGGAAGTCTCCGTTTGTTTATTTTTAAGAATTACTAATTTATTTCATTCGTAGATTACAGGTAAAATAATCATATATCAATTAAGAATCCAATATTTTTCCAAATAATTTGTTTGGTATTGGTGAAAACTTATGGTCCATATTTGGAATGGGTCTCGTATTTGCCCTAAAAACTTATTATATTGGGAATGGGTCTCTTGTCATGAGAGGTGTTCTTAATGAAATATTGTAGTGGTTGTTGTTAATGTACTTTTTTCACGCAATCGGGTCCTAATTCATCTTTGAAAAGAAATGCTATAACAATTATTCTTACTCTCTCATTAATCAGCAATTAAATCTAGAAATAAGAACTCAATATTTTTTTATTGTTGTGGTCATGCCTAGTGTAGAATTCACCATGACGTCATCAACGTAACACTGCTTCTGACAATCCTAACTGGGACAATACCAACCTGAAGACATATCATTATTTTTATTTACAAAATTATTTACTGTTTTCTTAACGCTAAGAATAGACAAAATAGAAACATTTAGATAATGTAAATTAAGTTCGAGTCTAGAATTAAGTTAAGCGATAACGGTACCTTTGTTTTATCCACAATACAAATGAAACTGGATTACCCACCGGATGCTGTGTGTTGAACAGATTTAATCTTGAAACGATATAATTTAAAACGTATGTATTGAACGCAAAAAACGTCATTTGCAATCTGAATCTTGGGAACGGCGATAAAGTAGTAATATAATAGTGAAAAAATTATATAAGTTAGGGTCATCAATGTAAAACTCATAAAATGGTGGCAAAAAAGCAGGTTCTAAATTTGACTTTTATTGCATTAAAGGAATTTTCTCATTCTGTCATGGTTTATGATTCCATGTATAAATAGCACAAATTACTGGCAGTAAAAAAAAAGTAAGAACTACTTATTATTGGTTTAGTATTTGGAGATAACAAATACTTTGAATTTATTTTAAAAGTATTATTTGGCAAGAGAAAGTTTGTGTTTAAATTTAATTTAAAATTCACGATTATA